CTATATCTAAAAAAGATAATTCAGAAGAAGATTCTGAAAGTGAATTTGAGAAACAGTATCTTGAAAAGAAGACTTTTCTCATATAATAATATGATAATTAGAATATTATTACTTTGAAGTAATTAGAATTTCAAGATAATAATAGTATTAAAATTATCATCAAAAAAGCTTGAACTTCTGTTAAAATTTCAAATCAAAGTTTAAGAGATATCAACTTTGAAGAAATATCTATTCAGATTATTTAAAATATTAAAAGAATTTATGAAGTACAAGCATACCAAGAAGAAATCAAAATCAGATAGAAGAAATATACTTAGAAAGATTTTAAATGACTTGATAAGAAGTTTATTTAATTATATAATTAGAATAACTGATAGTTATTTGACTGGCAAGAATCAAATAGTCAGTATTGGTGCTATAGAAATTTTTTTATATCTGATCACTAATTTTACCAATATTATAATAATCTTATAGATTAGATAACTATCAAAATTTATAAATCTTTTTGTGTTAAATTCAAAATTAATAAAGATTAAACTGATGAGATTGAACAAGAACTCTTTGTTAATAAAAAAGTCAAGAAAAGTTTTGATATATATCAATCTGTCTCACAATAAATTTATTTCAATTCTCAAATTGAAAGATATCAAGAATGTAAGAAATATGTAGACAAATATTATACTGGAATATATTTTAATATAAATAGAAAAAAAGTAACTACTTGTAATAATTATATTAGAAAAAAATAACTTAAGCTTTTAGTCTGTTCTTAGTATAATAAATGTGATAAATCCAGAAAAATATTTGTTATTGAAAGCTATAAAAAGAAATACTTTTATATATATGAATATTAATATATTTATTAGTTTAATTATAAAGGATGGAGAAAAAATATCAAAATAATTAACAAGCTTAGAAAAAGAGAAATATTATTAGAAATTTATGAAGAATATGATAAAATCAATAAAGTAATTTTATCTTACTTTATATATGAAGATGACTTTGTTCATGAAATTATCTATAAGAATTCTGTAGAAGTTTCTACTATTGAAATATTTTAATATATATATTAATAACTCAGTTTTAATTGAAGATAACAACTTGCTTGCTTGAATTATATTAATGTGAAACTCTATCAAGAATACTTAATTTCTTGTAATAATAATAAATATAATAATTATATACAATCTGAACTTCTAGTTAAATTAGATAAAGAAAAATGACCTATAACTTTGAAACTAATTTCAAAAAAAACAGTAACTAATAAATTAGTTGAAGAAATTAGCTTTACTTCTATTTTAACTCAACCTCCTTAACTTGAATAAATATATGAAAAGTTTAATATTATTTATCAAGCTCTTAATGAACTTTTATAATAATTTAATAACTATTTAAAGGATATTTCTGTAAAGCAAAATAATAACTACTATATAGTTAAAGTTTATAATAATCAAAATAAAGAAAAACTATCAGAAAAAGCATATTCTACTAATACTGGATATAATATTTATTATACTAAAAAGAAAGTAATCAGAATTCTATTATATTGAGTTATATTAGTCAATATTTATATTATCATAAAAATTCCTATAGAAGTTGTATGTCAAGTAATATCTTACTCATCTCTCATAAAACAAGGAATCAATGTTAAAAGTGAAATTATTAATTCTAAATATATTGAAAATATTAGTATCATCATTCAAAATAATTCAGAAGAAGATTATATTATTAAATTAGATTAGAAAATCAATTAATTAATATTTTTATAACTTGCATTTATTGATCAACTTAAACCAGTTTCTACTAGAGAAGAACTAGGATAATCTAGTTGAGGAATAGCTAGATTTAGATTTATTAATTATCAAGAAGCCTATAATTATTTCTTGAAACAAGAACAAGAAGAAAAAGTTATTAAATAATAAAAGTTAATTACTAAACAAGAAAGACTTCTTATTCAACTACTAAAAGATAATGCTAATATCTTTGTAACTGAATTATATAAACTTGACTGAAATAATATAATTCAACATGAAATATATACTAGAAATAAATCACTTATTAAATAATAATCTTACAAAATCACTCTTTCAGATTAATTATTTATATCAGAAGAAATTCAAAGAATATTAGAAGCAAATATTATCTGATCATTAACTAGTTCTTGAGCTTTTCTATTGTTATAATTTCCAAAAAGAATGAAAAAAAAGATTTTGTGTTAATTACAAAAAGATAAATACTATTATCCAAAAAGATGCATATCCATTATCAAGAATTGATGAAATAATGAATTCTCTTAAAATGCTTATTAATTTTTATTTATAAATCTAATCTCTAGATACTGGTAAATTGAAATGAAAGAAGAAGATAAATCCAAAATCACTTTTATCTCCAGAAAAGCACTTTTTAAATTCAATATTATATCTTTTGGATTATATAATATTCCAGTAACTTTTCAATATACTATGAATATTATACTAGAAGAATATAATTAGAATTTTATTAATATGTATATTAATAACTTAAATATATTTTCAAAAGATTTTGAAAAATACTTGAATTATCTCAATAAAGTATTTTACAGAATTTGCAATGCTAATTTGAAACTCAATCCAGAAAAATATGACTTTTGCAGAAGAGAATTATCATTTCCTGAATATGTAATCACTAAAAAAAGAATTTTTCCTGATTTATTAACTATTTAGAAGATAAAAGACTTTTCTTAATCAAGAACTATCAAAGAACTCTGATTATTTCTTGAATTAGCTGAATATTATAGAAAATTTATAAAAGGATTCTTTCAAATTACTACTTCTCTATTTAAATTATTTCATAATAAAGAATTATTCATTTGGATTGTAAAACAAGAAGAAGCTTTTCAATAAATTAAATAATATCTTATACTATATCTATTTTAATTTATCCCAACTTTACAAAGAAATTTTATTTTTACATCAATATCTCAGACTTAGAACTTGAAGTTATTCTATTTTAAAAAAATAAAGATAGAAGAAAATAAGTAGTTACTTATACAAGTATTATCTTAAAACTAAATAAATAAAAATATAAAATAACTAAAAAAGAAGTACTAGCAATAGTATGGGCTATTAAATATTTTTATTATCATCTACTTGAAATAGTTTTTGAAATAATTACTAATCATAATATTTTGAGATGATTATTTAAAAATTAATCAAGTTATTTTGCTAGAGTAAACTGCTAGATTATGTCTCTTATGAAATATACCTTTATTATTACTTATTAACCTAAAAGAAAGAATCAAAATACTAATACTTTATTCTGAATATATTTGAAAGACTATTAAATAACTTTTATCTTTATAATAATAATATAAATTTAATAACTTATTATAATTTATAATAATATTTGAATAATAAAACTTATTCTGTAAGATCAACTCTTGAATAATAACACAAAATTCATAACCAAGCAAAATACTTTTTATAAATTGATGGTATATTATACAAAATCAATAAAAGAAAAGAACTAATTACACCTCTTCAAGTTATTAAAGAAAATGAAATGAAAACTATTCTTATTAATTTATATTCAAGCTCTTTATTTAGATATTTTGGATATGAAGGAATCTATCAACAAATTACAAATAAATATTAGTGGAATGGCATGATAACTGATAAAAAGAATTATATAAAAACTTGTAAAATTTGTCAGCAAACTGATAGAAAAATTATTTGATAAGCTTTACACTCTATTAAAATTGAATAATTCTTTAATAGAATTATTATTAATTTAATTAGATCTAGTAAAATAACAACTACTGGAAATCAATATATTATTATAGTAATAGATTATCTTACAAAATAACATGAAACTAAAGTAATTCCAGACAAAAAAGCTATTATAATTGCAAAATTTATCTTTGAAGAAATAATTTGTAGACATGAATATCCTAAAGAAATTCAATTAGATAATAGATTAGAATTTATCAATGAAATAGTTAAAGAACTATTAATAAAATTTGGAATTAAACATAAATTTTCTTTATCTTATCACCTACAAATAAATAAAATAATAGAATGCTTTAATAAAATACTATGTATAATATTATAAAAGTTGATAATAACACATAAACAAGAATAGGATATCTTTATTTCTGCTGCTCTTTTTATCTATCAAGCTAATCAGAATTCAATAATAAATCATAAACTCTTTTTCTTAACTTATGGTCAAAATGCTAAATTATTAATAGAATTAAAAATTCCTACTTATCTAAAAGAGAACTTCACAGAAAAAGAAAAATTATTATAATGAATATATTACACAGTAGATCAGTTATCTCAACAAATTTTAGAAGTAAAACAAAATATAGAAGAATAACAATTATGATATACTTAAATATTTAATAACAAAATTCAAAATAAAACAGTTTTTAAAATTGAAAATAAAGTGGTAGAATTTATGCTCAGATTTGATATCATCTCTGATGACTGAGTAATTGTGCTTGGTTCCATAGAATACACTAAACCAAAATATGATTGTGTCTCTTGCGAACCAGCCAGAGATGGATATTGTGAAATTGTAGAAATTGCGCTCGGGCATGATAACCGAGTAATTGGGCTTGGCTCCATAAAATTTTCTGAATTGCAATATGATGTTTCTGGCGTACCAGCCGCTGAAGATTGTGAAGGCGCTGTAATGAACGAACCAGCTAGAGATGAATATTGTGAAGTGGTAGAATTTATGCTCGGGCTTGATATCATCTCTGATGACTGAGTAATTGTACTTGGTTCCATAGAATACACTAAACCAAAA